TTTTTTTTATGATACTGAAAGTGCTATTCTTAAGATACATCCTGTTTAGAAAGTTGCTATAGTTCATAGACTAGGCAATATGTATTTATATTGCATTTATTTTTCCACTTAAAACAAGACGGGATACTCAAAAAGGCAAAATTCGAGTATGAATCATGAGTATGAATCATGATTATACTGATGAATCATTATAAAAATGACAAAACAAACATACCAATATTCTTTCAATCAGCATATCATAATACTGTTCAGCAAGCTGAGGTCGACAAAGGACAAACCGACCTAATAATTCTACTGCTGCTTCTCGGACACTGGTGGAGTTATCCATCAATCGTCCATGAACTCCTCGCTGCATATCAAGCTAAAGAAAAATGAAAAAAATATATATAATTTATACCGAATAGAGCTAACATTCTAATTTAAATAGAAAATCCAAGTAAGAAGAATCGTTTTTGCTCTCTTTACCCTCGCTAGAATACTGGGGTCTACAGCAACAACCTCAGATAAACATTTCATGGCTTTTGTTCGAACAGCAATTGCATTTTCACCAAGAACTCGTAGAATCTGCCAAGAAAACGTTGACATTTTTCATAAATTTTCTAATATATGAAATTATAAAAAAATGAAACCACAAAAGAATCTATTATTAATTTCCCTTTAATCTGTATACAAATGAATAAAAGATATTACTGACTCAATGTTTAACTTAAAGCTTAGTACAGATGGTGAGGCAGTCTATACTTTGAAATCTTTCCTTTACCCTGGCATTTTCCATTAAACCTGGCTTTTATTGTTGTGCTTCATTTGCAAGAACCTACAGACCCACTAAAATCTTGCTATATGTAACTTTAATCAAGGATTTTAGTATGATTTAAATCAGAATTCAGTAACTGAATAATTTGTTTTCATAGTGTCACCTGTACTCTATCTATATTGTGTGTGTACTCAGATATATACCTATTTATTTGTAAAACAATAATCAATATGTAAAAGGCATGCAGAAAAAGGACATTTAAACAAATAAGGAACATACTATGGAAACTCACACTGCTTCTATGATCTTTCAAATATCTGTGCTCAACAATGAAAGACGTTATATACCCACAAGCATCCAGAATCAGAAAAATCACAATCACTGTATAAGGAACTCTGACTCATTTTACCTGTGTCAAATAAATATCAAAGCTCTGGGCGAACGGCCTCATAGAGGCCAAGTATCGAACAATCAAGCAAGCATCATCATAGTCCACAGTATCAGAGTTCATCCTGCAACAAAAGGTCATTAAAAATTTATTTTTGTAACTAAGGTAAATAGATATCAAAGAGATAAATTAAAAAATAAACATGTTTTCTCTTTACATCTTACTTTAATGTGCTGAACTGAGAAGGTGTGGTTTTGATAATGCTTCTAAGAAATTTTTTCCGGTTTTCAGCTCGATGCATAATTTGACCAGTTGTCTCAATTTCTTTTGCATGATGTGTTCCTTCAGATGATTCTTCATCTTTTTGTGATTTCATTGCTTTTTCTGTTTCCAGAGTTGTGTCACGGAACCACTGAGCTATATAGAATTTACGAGAAAACTGGCAAGAAATTAGGTAGACTTGAGCATCATGAAATCAGTAACAAAATTTCTAAGTCATTTATAAAGTCAGAGTGCTCACAATCAGGAATGCAAGTATTAAGGTTTACTTTAAAAATTTATTTTTATTTTTATTTTTTAGAGACAGAGTCTTGTTCTGTCACCCAGGCTAAAGTGCAA